AAGCGGTGAGTTCGAATCTCAAGAGGGCCTAAATTTTCTTTTATTTGCTGCTACCGGCTGGCGGCAAGTTATTCCCTGCAGTGTCCTCAGGTTGCGGATAAGGGGACAGCATGTTTGTCGTTTCTAACTTCCAGATATGGAGGTTAGCTGCTACAAATATGCTGCCACAGCCAAGGTTTGGCTGGGTTCGAGCTCGATAAATTCATTCTTCAGAAAAAAGTCTCAATGCCTAATGAGAGTCTCATGTCAGTGCGAAAGCGACCAGTGAAGAAAAAGGGCCACCAGTGTTATCGCTGCTTTGCGATTAGACGGCGGTTTATCAAAGTGTAGAAAATGCTGCACGGCATTTCGCAACCCCTCTGAACGAAATTTCCTAGGCCGCCATCAGCCCTTCCAGCGGGTGGCAACAGTTCATGAGCTACAGCACGAATAGATGAGTTTTAATACCCTGCGCTTCTCTCGACCCATTTGACATTGGCGGTTCAGTGTTCGACTAACGAGAGATCGCTGAGAAACCCAAGTGAAAGGCTACCATCGTATAAACGAACAGAGACTTAATTCGCTGTTTGCAGTTCGAACCGTATAACACTGGCGAGGGAAGAAACGTTTCACAAACTAATGGAAGTAAGGTCAGGGATTGCCTGCGACATCTTTGGCCTCTGCGAAATAAGATAGCGGGAGGAAATGAATGGTACCTGAAAAGACAGCAAATGCTGGTTCTCTTGAACAAATAACGCAGCCTACTCTACTTAAGAGCAGGCAGCTCAGAAACAGGTGCCAGCGCGATTACGTGCGAACGATGAGGCAGAATGGTGTTCGGGTGTAGTCATGTCATAGCATGCGATACAAGTAGTTATTCTCTCTGATGCTTGCACTTCATGCCAGTTCGTCTTGACCCACAGGATAATTGGTTGAAAACGTACTAAAATGTTTCACAGGGTTTAAACTATGAATCAGTAAAATAAGTTTTTTCCGTGATGCCGGTCCTAAGCCTGAATGAAAGAGGAAGAGAATTTGGGATCATCCCGCGAAACGTAGCCACCCAGCTCTCCGTCGCCGTTCATGGTATTGTAGCTGTCGAGCGTTATACCGACTCCGTCGTTGTCCCGGTTACCAACGGCCGTGCAGACTGTTGGGGAACTGAAACACACTGCGAAAAGTCGACGATCAAAGCCTGTTTCACACCTTCTCGCAGATGAACGTAGCGCCATCGCGATGGCTGCCCAAGATCTACGCGAAGATGATGAAGATACCAGTCAGCAACAGAGGACTATCCTTTCTGAATGGAGGAGGCAGAAAGTACGATGCCGTCATGACCCGTCAGATAAAGTTACACAGGAACGATCCTGACATTGGCAGGTTACAGTATTAAATTGAAATGTACACATTGTTTACTGTATTCTTGTGCTGTGAAAGTTTCCCTGTTGATGGTTTCTATACCAGAAGCTGAAACCTCGGAATAAAATAAGGGAATACCTTAACGTCACACCCAAAATCATTTGCATTAAGAAAATGTTAGGAAATTTATGACCGTGGCATGTATTAAGGAATGACATTCCGAAAATAATGGATTGTCTGTTATGAACATCTTACCATCGAAATGTGCGTTAAGTATTTCCGGTATAGAGTAACTAGTGAACAGAGTCGATGACTGCACCGGGCGTACGATTTATTGACAGTTTGTTGTTACTGTTATCGATTATTGCCATTTTGCGAATCTTTAATGTTAATCTTAAAGGATAATTATTTGTGTTTCTGCCGTTTCTGGAATACTCAATGACTGATGTCCATTTATGCGATCGAAGCGAATATGTAGAAACTAGGAAGTTTATTATATTTATTCCAGCATATTCCGGCAAACTGTCAGCCGGGTTGTCAGTCATGGAATCGAGCAGTACTGGGAGCTGGTTTCCTTTTCAGTTGCTTTCAGTCGATTTTCTATGGGCATTTGTTAGCGAGTTGAAGCGATGGCAAAGATGCGCCACTGAATGGCACTGGGCAAAAACTCGTTATTACAGGGTCGTAAAGTCTGGTGCCAGTGTTTTCATGTGACTGGTGTTTTCCTTTCAAACACTTTTGTTGGTAGTTTGCTGTTTTTTCAGTATCTTGTAATTCGTTTGCCTTTAAGAAAACATTAGCTGAAATTTGTATGCGCAGCGAACGATATTGCGGCACCGAAGGAGGTGGCATGGACCAGGCAATTTGCTTCCTTGCCGAAAGACACAAGGTTGCCTTTAGTGACCATGGGAAAGTGACGTTGCATGACACGTTATTGTTTTCTCTCCTTTCAGGCAAAACTCATCGAATTTA